AGTGAGGGGTAAGTGAGCTATGAATTTCTCTCAGCCTCTCCACAGGGAGAATTTCTCTTATCAACCTCTCCACGGAGGTTGTTGTGATCCCTGTTTTCCAGCAGATTCTCTCTAATCTTCCTGTAGGACTTTATATATTCCACAAGCTTCAATAAAGCAGGATTCAGTTTACTTTTATGTTTTTCTTTGAAACTTTGTATTTACCATTATTAGTTGATTTACACCTGCTGTTACAGAATTGAATTCTGTTGAACAGAAATCATCAATTTAGAATAAAGGGCCTACTGTGATTAAGTTATTTATTTCTTTGATTAATTGAAGTACTTTCTCCTGGTGGTTTTATTGGGTCTGTTCTGAGATGATACCTAAAAAGATGATGGTTTTTTTTGACTGTTCTGGGTTCTCTTTCACAGCTCACTGTTGGGTAAGAGATTGTGACTTGTTTTCCAGGGAGTTCTTTAAGTTGCAGGTTCTTGAATTTTAAGTTTTATTGTAACCAGGCAACCAGAAGTCATAAATCTGGCAAAGGGTTGCACAAAATGGGTTCTTTCTGGATCACCACCTATCCTAGGAGCTGGGTCAGGACAGTCCTTTTGTGGTCACTCCCTATAACGAGCAGGACTTGTGATGACTTTCACAGTCATGGAGGATGGGTTCAGAAACGGGTTTAACTGGGGAATCTTACAGTATCACCAGAGAGGTCATGGTCCCTCAATCCCCGCACCTGCCTGTCCCAACACCACACACACACACACACACACACACACACACACACCATGGGGTCAAGCCCTGTTGCTGGACACACTGCATCTGCAGTCAGCAATATGATACTTTCCGTGGCTGCTCTGTGCTTTCAGGCCAATCCTGAGCATCACATTATTGGTTTGGGGACAAATAGACTACTGAGCAGCAGGTGGTTTGGGTTTAGATATTAACTGTTTATGACAGGTAGGTGCCAGGCACTGTGCTAAATGTTAACTTCTATTGTGAATAAAGAAATTGAGGAGTCAATTTTTCTTCTACATTTTTTTCCTATTTCTAGGAAAAAATGACTGACATCTTTGGAATCTAACTATACGTGTTTGTCTATGTCTGTCTGTCTCTAAGTCCATCAGTCCTGATTAAATGATGTCATGGCTAAGTCATTCCAAAACATCACAAAGCTAACTTCATTTGCTCACCGCCCTACAAACTAAATGCATATGACTGACAGCCAGTTCCACCCAGTGGTGAGGATTCTCATCTTTTAAATATGTCCCTCTTCCGATTAAAATCCTTTAACCGTTCTTACAGTCTTTAGATACAAATCTGATTTAGCACAGTGATCTTGTCTCTGCATTTCTCTTTCCTGTCCTTATAACTTGACACTCACCTGTACTTTATGTTTGTCATATTGGACTATTTGATGTTCCTAAGCTATCTGATTGCTGTAGTGTCCCAGCTCTGGAACTTTGTATGTTTCTTTTACCTGGGTGGAGGGTTCCTGTTATCCACCACATGCACACACACACATGCACACTACACAGAAGTGTTGTCTCTGTTCCCATAGCACCTGATGTGCATTTCTTTATCAAAGTCCCTGCCACGTTGTTTTGCAAGTTTGATCTCCCAACAGACTGAGTTCCACGGGATCGGAATCTGCTTTTTTATCTTTCCATCTCCAGCAGCTAGCCCCAATGCCTCGCTCAAAATCATCCAAAAAATGAATGACTGATGCAAAACATCCTTGGGTAACTTGGTGGCTGAATTAGGTTATAGTAGGTCTATGTTTTTCTGAGATTTGACTTGGGTATATTCCAAAAGAATGTGTCCAGTTAGCAGATTCATGACGGCAAGTTTGTTATAGTAGGTCTATGTTTTTCTGAGATTTGACTTGGTTATATTCCAAAAGAATGTGTGTGAAGAATGTGTCCAGCTAGCAGATTCATGACGGCAAGTTGGCCAGCGGCTAAAACTGCCCGAGTCGTCAGAGACAGCAAGATGCCTGAGACTGCAGGACTGCCGAGCTGTGTTTGCAGCTGTGTTTATATCAGGTCTTGGTTGGATGAGGAAGCGAAAAGAGATGCTTGAAACTATTTCTGTGAGACTCAGGGACTACAGTGTTGACAATGGACTAGTGCAGGTGCATTTACCACACCCGCTTCCCTCTGTGGAGCTGGGGCCAGGCTGAGGCCGGGGCTGGGGTGAGATGGCGGAAAGACCAGGGGGCTTACAGGAAAAAGAAGATATTGTAAGGCAACGATCAGAATCCTGACATTATAGTATGGGTGTTCCGTAAACAGCACTGCTTATGTAAGAATCTCCGCTATGACTGTCACAAGCTGTGTGGCCTTGGCAATGTATGTAACTCCCTGACCCGTAGCTTTTCCATCTGTAAACTAGAGGTGTGGTTGACCCACTCTAGGCCAGGTCCAGACTTCATGTGTCAGGAAGGCGTTGGTACCACAGCAGCATTTGAATCCCCAAAGACAATGTCAGCAGTCCACTCGACAGCGAAGTCTCTATCTGAACATTTATTCCACAGTCATAGAAACTAAAGATGGAAAAGACGGGAGGACATCTCGTCCACCCACGTGGTTGTACAAGAAAAGTGGCCGGAGCAAAGCAGCCTGTTCACGTCATGCTCACAAGACAGCATCGCAGGTCTTCCTGGAGCGGAGCGATCGCAAACACATTAAAATGAACACACAGTGCAAACACTCATACAAACCTTAAGAAAATACCTTTAAGTACATTATTTTCATAAAACGATTAAGAACTAAACTAAAAAAAGTGAGGGAATCCTGGATTCGATGGATGGCGTCGGTGGGCGACGGAAGGAACAACTAAACAGTGAAGGCGGTGACGTAGTTTGGATGACGGGAAAGCAGTTTCTCCTGGGGACTGGTTGGATTTCCTGGTTTGCTGATCAAAAATCTGAGCTGGGAGGAAGAGAGGCTCTAAGTCGTTTCTTTCCCCTTCCTTCTCTCTCCACACCCAGACATGCTCACCAGCTGCAAGGCTCTGACAGACCCCCACCAACCCTGAGACGCTTGCTGCCCATGTAGCAAAGCTGTTCTTGGTAGCGGCTCCACTTACCACTTGTCCGGTTGGCACGGAAGCAGCTGATCCTGTATAGAGTTTGTGTGACAGCAAGATCCATGAGCAATGGAGAGTCACCTCCAGGCACATTGAAGACCTCAACTGACTGGTCCCTACAGCTGCCTCACTTGTCTGTCCCAGACACGCCCCCAACTTGTCTTTCACTGTTGGAAGAATCCCTTGTCCTCGACCTCGAAGTATCCACACTCTGGGGCCCTGATTAATATTTACATGGACCGATCTGTCCTCACTCACCCAGTCATGCTTTATTATGTGCTTCCTGTGCCAGGTGCGCCTTGGAAAACAGGGTGGGGGGTGTGTGACATCAGGTCCCATCCCAGGTTCCCAGCACCAGGACGTGGGAAAGACTGGCCTTCCCAATCTCATGAAATAAGAGCCCACAAGAGGAGGAAGGTAGCAGCCTCCCTTACATCTTTGCCCACACACCGCCTCTGCCTGAGGACTTCCGGTCTTCGTGTGTTCTGAGCCTGGGGCGTGGAGGGAACAGGTGGAGCAGAACAGAAAGGAGGGTTTCCAAAGGACCCACCGTTACATGAAATCTTTTTACAAAACACAACACACTGTTTCACAAATTGCAAAACACTGTTCAATCACTACCGATAAAAATAATCACTGCTAAGTATGAAGACTGCTTCATTTCACCATCAGCAAAGATGCTTTGTTTTTCTGTACCCAGACCCGGAGGCATCGCAGGCAGAGCTGAGGGCAGTAGGCCTGCTGCCAGCCCCTCCCTGCTGCTGCTTGCCACATCCAGGCCCCAGCTCTGGCCAAGCAGTTCCTCAGGGGACACCCCGGGAGCTGTGCATGGGCCGTCTGCTCTATGGAGAGGCAGGGCGGCCTGCCATGTCATCACCCTGCTCAGAATGCCTCAGTAGAGAAGCTTAAGGTAAACCCGATATACAAAAATCCAAACTTACAAAACAGATACATTAAGGGACAATTAATTGCATTACAAAAGGATTCTTTACAAAAGAATTCACCTCTGGGTTCCTTTAAGTAGCCAGCTTCTCAAGTACAGTCAGGAGATGAGCTGAGTTATAAAAATGTCCATACAACATTAGGAGCATGGCTGTTCCGGGAGTTGAGGTACACCTGTACATCCGGGCTACTCAGAGGTCAGGCGTGCACAGAGCATGACGGCAACATCTAGTGTCCCCAGCTGGTGCGGATGGGTGGGCACGGCTAAGGGGCATAATCTTTCAAAGGCAGTTGCAAACCTACTTCAGGGCCTGGGGTGAGAACAAGGGAAGACAGGCTGTTTCAAAGCAGAGTTGTCCTGCTTCCACAGCTCACCAGCTCCCTCCCTCACTGCTAAACTGTTCCATCTGTGAGGTGGATGGAGTCTAATGAGGATCCTCCCATCTCCTTCATTAGCATCTCTGCCTACATCCACCCCTGGGTTTTCTCAGACAATTAACTGATTAACAACTAACTGAAGTGTGATCTAATTACAGCTTAGGATGTTCTCTTTCCCTGGGAGACTGGGTAGCTCTTGGTGGCAATGCAGGGATTCCATTCAAAAAGTAGGCTGTGCCCTCCCAGTGATGGGCAGCTGTTCCAGGGCACCAGGGCTTGGCTCAGCGCTTCGAACTCACTGTGGCCTTCAAATGGATGGGGGTGCAACAAAGAGTACTGAGAAGATAAAGCAAATCATTGAAACACAAGGAAGTCTAGTCCTAAATGGTACGGGGCA